CATGATACATGACATCTTGTTTCATGACATCTGAAATACAGTGCCTTATTTTATGATATCTGATACATGACATCTTGTCTGATACCTTGTTATGGTTCAAGTTCCTTGTACCACGGTGATGGTCCAAGGTTAGAACCAATGAAAGAATAACACGAACACAGGTATGGAATACAAAGATATATTTCAACAGAAATATAATACAAAGAAGTAGAAGTATTAGTAATGACTATCAGATTTGGTTAGAGTGAACTATGTTGTCTCGACAAGTATCACTATTCCAATGTCCTTACAATATGCTCTCAATTATCTCTCCTCGTCTTACAATATCCTCATATCTCTTGAGAGGTGCAGTATTTATAATGTCAGGAATAGTCCATTATTATTATTATTATGGGTAAGTTCCCATAACATACATGATATTTTATTTCATTACATCTGATATTCAAAGAAGTTATGAAGTAATTACAGTCTAGACCAGAGTTTCTCAACCAGGGTTCCCCGAAACCCTAAGGTTCCGCAAGAGGTCCCCAAGGGTCCCACAAGAAAAGGTGATATAGGCTAATGCATTTTTGACTTTTTATTTAATTTCATATATGTAATATTACTAAACATACAACATATTCTTGGGTATTGATTCATTTTCTTAGCCCATTTATTGATTCACAGGACATTTTGCCTTGATTTACCTTACGTCTTTTCAACATTGCCAGTAAAGGCTAAAAAAATTTAAAAACTGATGCAGCAATTATCTGTCTTCGTTCTGTATAAATTTATATTATAGGTATATGATATTGGTTACTTATGTTTTTATTTTTTACATTTGAGTTTAGAATTTTTTTTGTGTGAATGAAAACTCCCTGATGAAGTATTATAAATGAACAGTATGAATTTTATTTAACATTACCGAAAAATTTGACAAAGAAGTATTAATTTTTCCTTAAACTTTTTCCTTATTCAAAAATACATACTATGATAATTACCACATGAACTATGATGAAAATAAAATGAGAAAGATA